ATTCTATTAGTTCAAAAAATACGCGGATTAAGCGAAATAAAAAATATCGTAATGTATCTTTTAAAGCAATTTTTATGATTTAAACAAAGACTTACAAAAATAATTGCGTTTTCAATGAAGTTATAATCGTTAAAGTTAATAAAACTAATTATGTAACAAACATATAAGAAGTTTCTGGTTACTAAACACAAACAACGCATACAAAGAAACTGGCGAATGAACAATCATCGCACCTGAGGTCACGACAGAACACAAATATATATAGCAAATAATTAGATATAAAGAAAAGTTTCTAGATATTGGTTTACTAACTCTAATTATTTTCGCTTAAGTTGCCATTCTTAAAACTCGTTATACTTTTTTCTGCTTTAAATACTAATTAAAATTAAAAAGCCCACTCACTAAACATCATCAGCGATATTGTGAAGCAGTTTCGCTTCCTGGTCATTAAGTATTTTTAACCTTATTAGTTGATTTCTATCTTGATAATTTAATTCCTATAGTATTCAATGATTTGATTATTTCATTTGTTTATCTTACTAAGAAGAATCGCTTCAAATATGTTAAACTTTTCAAACTACGCCAAACATAAAATAGGTATTAAAAAAATTAACTTTTTTATTTATAAAATAGTTTAGCTTAAGTAAAACAAAACTTGCAAACTTTTAAATAAAGAGTATTTGTTTCCCTTTTAAACAATCGTAAGTTGTTACTTTATATAAAAAAACATCGCTTAATTTTATAAAAAAAATTATAAAAGAGCGATGTTTCGAAAATATTTGTTCTAAATGTAATTTATTTAGCTTTAAATTTTTTTGCGTTCAAAGATATTTTATTTGCCTATTTTTTTTTTTTTTTTTGTAATTGTCTCTCATCGGTTCAATTAATCTTTGTCGCTTTTTTTTTTTGCTTTTTAAAATGTTCTCAAAACGACTAAAAAATCTGGCCAGCTTTTCGCAACTAAATATTATTTACGTGGTCAGCAATCGAGAGCAATCGCTCCCGCTTCCCGACCAAACCTTATATACACATATACACATATATATATACCCATATACATATATATATATATATATATATATATATATATATATATATATATATATATATATATATATATATATACATACGGGAGCGATCACTTCCGCTTCCCAACCAAGCCTGATATACACATATACACATATATATATAACCATATACATATATATATATATATATATATATATATATATATATATATATATATATATATATATATATATATATATATATATATATATATATATATATATATATATATATATATATATATCTTTAATTTTATTGTTTTGTAAAAAAAAAAAAAAATCAGTAAAACAGAATTTTTTGACAAGAATATTTTTTTAAATAATGTTTTTGTTTGTAGTTTTTGATTGTTTTGATTATTTTTTTGATACTATTTTTATTATTTAAATACATTTTATTTTAATGTTTAATGTTGATATAGATTTGGAATTTTTACTTAAAATTAGATACTATTTCACATATAATGCTATTCAAATGGGTTCAAAGAATTAAATATCAAACATTACTAAATGATACTGTATATATTAAATTCTAACCATATCTTTTGTATAACAAAAAATGAAATAAACATAAAATAAAATATTAAATTAAAAAAAGTAAAAAATTTTACCTGACCCAGATTCACTGGTTTATATTTATTTACTAAATTCAGAGTTTCAACCCTAAAAAAGCAAGACTTTAATCAAATCGATTACAAACCACCAACTTAATTTTTCTTTTTTTTAAGTTTTAAATTTTAGACTCTAATAGAGTTATAGAGTAAGGAAATGGTTGACAGAAGAACTGAAAAGTTAAAGGTTTATGAGTCAAGAAAACATGAAGATGGGAGAGAGTTCCAAAGCATAGAAGTGTGGAGAAAAAAACAAAATAAATAAAAGTTTTAAGAACATTAAAAGACAGATACATTAAAAGTATGCAAGTTAGCTGAATGATTGATGGAACTAAAGATGATAGCTCATTTGCGCAGCAACAATGATAGTATTTATAGAAAAGAGAAAAAGATAAAACCTTACAACAATGGGAGAGTGGTTCAGGCTTGGCACATAAAACAGGTGCAATTACATTTACAAAGCGTTTTTCAACCTTGTCTAGAAGAAAAAGAGTATCATTAGAAGAACCAGCCCAAATATGACAACAATATCCTATACTGGGACAAGATAAGAGATTGGTAAAAGTAATGGATGGAATCAGGGTGTAAGAGTGAAAATAACAATAAAGAGAAGCAACCTTAACAGATGCTAACTTTGCAATCGATATTTGGTTTTGATGAGAGGTCAAAATTGATGATAATCCAAGAACACATAAAAAAGAAGAGGACTCAGTGAGAAGGTTGCTATTTTTTAACATAGGAATGTCTACAATATTGTGACAATAATGTGATATCTATATACATTTATTTGCTGCTGTTTGCAGCAAATAAATGTATATAAATGCTGGATTTAAAATTTCCAAGCCACTGCAAGCCCCAATTGTTACAGTATAGAGATCAGACTTAAAATTTGATGCCTGTTCTAAGCGATCAAAAAGAGATGACTTTTTGTTAAGACAGGAGCATAAAATTGTGTCATCAGCAAATAAAGCCACTATAATTGTAAGGTTATCATGAAGGTTATAAATGTAAACTAGAGACGATACAAAACCAAGGATAGAACCTTGAGGTACCCTAGAAGTTACTGGAAATGAAGCAGAGTGTTGGCCTTTTTTCATGAATTGAACATTTTTACTTAATATATTTAGATTTGATCATTTTAAAAATTTTACCAGATACTGTATGAAGCAAGCCTATGGAGAAGAGAAACATACTAAACTTTATCAAAAAAAGAGCAATAGCCCTTTCATTGCCACCTCTATATAACGCAAAAAAGTATCTTTCAGTCACAGCAAGTCAGCCATAGAGCAAAAAGATCAAAAACTATATTGACTGTCAAGTTATTAGACTCAACGAGATGTTAAAAATTTTATGATTAAAGAGTCAAAGATCTTGCTAATATAAAAGAAGATATATACCATTATCTTATAATATATAAGATAATATATCGGATGTTGGAGGGGTCGAAATGTTCTCTAGAGTTTTTAGAAAATAGAATTACAGATGCAATTTTCAAGCAGGCAGGAAAAAAAGATTTAATTAATTATTTATTAAATAGTTTAAAGAGAAAAAAAAGAATTCATAGAAAAGAATTTTAAAAGACAATGACAGGAATGGTGTCTGGAGCCACAAGGTATAGAAGAGTTTAATTCATATATGACTTTAGCAACAAAATAAGAAAATGAGAAATAAGAAATGAGTGAAAATGAGCAACAGAAGCCAATATTAGATGTCTAAAATTGGGTTGCCTCACCGCATGATAAAATCTTATAGCAGTTAACAAGTCAACAGTAGAGCAGAGAGAGTTTTTTAAAATAAAAAACCATTTTCAAATTAAAATAACATATGCCGTTTTCCAGCAGGCAGAAAAATAAGATTCAGTGAAGCACTTATTAAACAGTTTAGAGAGAACTGAAGAGATTTCTGAAGAACATATTTGAAAGATTATGACAGGAATGTTGTCTGGATCACAAGTCCCAGAAGAGTTTAACTAAGATATGACTTGATCAGAAGCTGGGGTGATTTAAATGTCTAATAATGCAACAGAAGCTGGGGTGATTTGAATGTCTAATAATGCAATAACCTGTTTAACTTGAATGGCAGGAAGAGTACGGCCATTAGATTCAGAAGTCAAATTAGATAAACCAAATTGTAATAAGTCGAGTTGGATTAGAGACGGAATGTCCAGCTTGTCTTTATTAACGACACAGTTGAAGATTTTCTAAAAGAGATTTAGTAAACTGGGAATGATGGAGCTCAGTATCAGACACACTTTTTTACATAGATTTCTTGCAATAATAAAAAGGTGTTTGTTCTCAAGAGAGTTATTTTTGTGAAAAAGCAAAAGAAGATGAAAACAATGGAGAAGAAAGAGACTTAACTAGAAACCAATGAGAAGGAATAAAAGCTTCCATACTTGCATGGATCCAGGAGGTTACATAGAAGATGCATTTATCAGTAGAGAGACAAAAGACATCATCTCGAAAACCCTTGCAAAAAAAATCACAACAAATCCCAGTCAGTTTTAGGATAGTTATAGTAGTGCAATAATATATTGAGTCCGAAGAAGTACAAGTTAAAATATTTATCGACCACCTAAAGGAAACATATATATGTTTATAACATGAGCTTGGGTTAAAAGCAAGAAACAAACCAAGAAATGAAGTGAATAAGGTTGTCTGGAAAATGAGTAACAAAGTTAACTAACTGAGTAAGAGATTGAGAAATACAGAGGTTATGAACTTTAGTGCCAACAGGGTCAGTGATTTTAGAGCCAAACCATTCAGTGTGATGAGTATTGCACAAGCACATCATTCATACACAATATCACACTGTTAATAGCCTGATATTTTACAACTGCTGATGGAATCAGTCATTCTGAGAGCTACCAAAGAGTTAGGTAGAAATGCCTTAAAACTGTTAAACTAAGTTTTAGAGCTGTGCCCTTATTAGGAGATAAAATGAAGAGTTGCATATGAGTAGAGTCAAGATAATCCAGCATTTATCTTCCTAGGTAGGAAACAATGACATGGATTTAAACATAGATTTATATCTACACCAACCTAATAGATAAAGCAGAAGCGCAATGCTAATCAACAGAACTATTTTGCTTACCCTTAAGTCTTTGCCTTGGAGGCCTTCTACAAGACAGTAGCTGGATGCAATTAACATCTGCCCAAGATAGGTATCTTTATCAAGACACCATCTCTAGCCTTTACTCAACCATGAGCCCCAAGACAGGGAAATTTTATATCAAAGTTTATTTCTCATATCAAAGCATATCTTACAGGGTAGCAGGATATGGGGCAGGTTGTAGTGGGTTACATTTTACCAGTAGCAGGGTGATTCTGATGATCCTTGACCTGACATGGATTTATAAATATTGTGCATCAAACATTTAACAGTATAATATAAACCTATATATAATACTAAGTCAAAATACAATATGAAATCAAATATTTGATAGTACAATAATGTATTAGTAAACAATAAACTTCTGTAACTATCATTTATCAATATATAATTTATCAATACAGAAATGATGTTAGAAAACCAACCTTTTATGTTCTTTTAAATGAAAGAATGTGTTTATTACACTGACAAAACACTTGTTAAGTCAAAATTTTATTGTTTCAAACTTTAATAAATTACTAGTCATGGTAACTTTTCAGAGTACAATATAATGGTAAGACATTGAACGCTGTTTGGCTAATATTCCAAACTGTTTGTAACAAAGCGATTGGAGATTTTGAAAACTAAAATGTCAGAAGACTTTTTAAGTTTATTACAAAATTGTGACCTGTTTCTAGGAAATAAAATATAAAACTATTTACCAAATGCTAGGTGGTATTCTTTTGCAAGCTTTTGACAATACAACAGGTTCAAAGTTAGAAGCCATTATAGATACCTAATACAAAAAAAACATGATCTTTATCATGATCATCATCATTAAAAAATTCTTATTAATAATATATATATATATATATATATATATATATATATATATATATATATATATATATATATATATATATATATATATATATATATAAATATGTATGTATATTTATAATTATTGTAGGAATTATGTTAATATTTTCAGTAAGAGTGCTCAATACAGCATGTTATATAATTAGTAGAGCAAATATAGTGAAAACTAAAAAATTATAAAGATATATTTCAATTACATAACTAAAAGTTTCATGCAATAGCGATCATCAGATGTAACAATAACAAAAAAGTTTTTTTCTTTTTTGTTGCTGCTACATCTGATGATCGCTATCGCATGAAACTTTTAGTTATGTAATTGAAATATATCTTTATAATTATTTAGTTTTCATTATATATATATATATATATATATATATATATATATATATATATATATATATATATATATATATATATATATATATATATATATATATATATATATATATATATATATATATATATATATATATATATATATATATATATATATATATATATATATACATATTCAGGTCAGGATATGAACTATCATAATCTCCCTATTGCAAGTAATATTTTATCAAAACCTGCCTCAAGACCTGCTCCATTGTAGAACAAGTTGACTTTCTTGATCTTAACTCATGGGTTTTGGCTTGCACATCCTTTAAACTGGCTATGCAATTCATTCTATTAAGACATTGATAAAACAGATTAATGGTTCTGAGGGTGGCTAGAAGAGTTCGAAAACTATGCATTAGATTTCAGAAAGTTCAATTCTAATAACAGGTGTAAAATATAAGGGTATTAAACATATTTTGCTCCGTAGATAAGTTTAAATAGATGGTATCCCTAATTAGTGCTTATAGTGTAAATTGTCAGAGTCACACAAAGAGCCTTTTGTTAAAACTTTGGGTTGACCAAGCAAATGTGGCAACACCATAGATTTCTGCTTAGGGTGTCATGCACTAAGATTGAGTCAAGTTCTATATTAAATTAGAACATGAATAAAGTACCTGAAAATAACAAACAAAAACTACCATTTGTGGTCTTCGAAGTAATGCTTGGCCTGAGCATTTACATAAGCATAAATTTACCTTATTTTTTATGAAATCAGGTTTGAATCCACAAACAAATCTTTTATGTGGTTAACACCTCTTCACATGATCTTTTTTTTGTTCTTTATCATTTTTCTTTTCAATACTTATTCTGATATTTCTGATCAAATTGATTAAAATCACTTTAAAAATCAATCAAATTGAGAACTTGATCAAATTAATAAGATCTTCCGACCCATTGTAAGGCAACCAACTACCCTATAGAAAATTGCATCTGTGATTGCAATTTTTCAAAAAATCTGAAGATTGCTTTGGTCTTTCAAACTATTGCACAATCATCCTTTTTACCATCATTATTTACCAATCTTCCATTCTTGGTCATGTGTTATTTCTCATCTAAATGACCTTTCTGATTATCTTACCACTTGAATGTGATATCTCTTATGTTACAGCTGGATCTCTCTTATGCAACAACTGGTTGTTTACTGTTAGTAATCATCACAATGTTAATATTTCTAAATTTAAAAATAGCAACACTCTTATGCAAAGTGTTTCCACATTTTGACAGATTATGTGGTCAAGCTTCTGTTTTTTAAAACAGCAAATATTATTTAAAAGAATATATTTTTTTGTTCTAGTTTATAACAATATAGCTTTCACATTGTAATTTTACATGTTCCCTCATGTTTTATTTTTTCTTTCAAACCAGCTGGAAAAAAACTAACTTTTTTTATTTTCAAAAATGTGTTAACTTAAAAATGAAACTAAACTGAATTTAGAAAATTGATGAAAATAAACAACTTTAGTGATGTCATATTTATTGAAACCTTTTAATATAATACTAGAAACTGTTTATTTTATATATATTTAACCAAGCTCTTTCTCTTTATCTTTCAGCCAATATCATTATTGTTGGTGACTTTAATGCTCATCACACTGAAGGTCTTGGCTCTAGTGCCAGTGACTCGGCAGGCGTTAAGGCCCTCAACTTTTGCCTTTCTCAATCTTTAAGACAAATAATCAACTTTCCAACTTGTTTTCCAGACAATACAAATCATTTACATTCTCTACTCGACTTATGTCTTGTTTCTAATCCTAGTCAGTGCTCACTTTCTCCACATTTACCCTTTGCTTCTGATCACAGTTTGATCTCTCTAAAACTATTATCTCATTCTTCTTTATCATCAGAATACCCTTATCATTGTACCTCTTACAAATACCTTAAACCTGACTGAGACTCATTCTGTGATTTTCTTTGTAATTGTCCTTAGGTAAAAATCTTTTGTCTTCCTGCTGACAAATGTACTTCTTACATAACTTTTTTAATTTAGGCTGGCATGGAATCCTTTATTCCCGCTCCACAAATCTAAGTCAAGCTTCACTCCTTTCCATGGTTTTTCTCTCAATGCCCTGCTGAAAATTTCCATTTGTACCCATTACTTTCATATCTATCAGCAAAATAATTCAGAAAACAAAGGTCTGTTTACTATCGCAAGAAACCATCATAAAATGGTTTTTTGCCAAACGCCAAAGCCCTCTATTCTCAGGTCACAAAATCTCATATTTTACCTTAAAAATTAGGCTCTATTGACTTTTGAAGAATCTCTAACAGCATCTACAGGCCTTGTTTTAAAGCGTTACGCCTAGAACGATTTACGTACGCCTTAAGCGATTTTTATGTACGTGTAGAGCTGTTTTGGTTAAGCTACTTTTTATCATTTTTTAACTTTTAAATTAGCGGTAACAAAAGAAGTAATTAATTTAAAAAAAAAAAACCACATTAACTTTTAAATAAAGATATTTATTACAAAAAAGAATTTACGTTAAAAATAATTGTTGTAACTTTTCATCGTGATATATCTTACCTTTTTATAGCAATTAATTTTACACTAAACTTTTTATCCAAATATTTAGCAACATGAAAAATTGTTCCTCAATCCTTAACTACAAATTTTTTGCAATGTTTTTAATAAAAAGTAGTAATTTTTTAAAGTTTTCAGTAAAAAACTTTGAAAAAATCTATATTCCATATTTATTAATATAGAATATAAATGTTTTTTGTAATATAGATTTTTTAAGGGTTTTTACTGAATTTATAATAAAAAAACATTTTCAAAAAAATTTGTAATTAAGGATTGACATTTTTTTTTAGTATCTCAAAAAATGTTTTAAAATATTTGTTATCATGATAACAAAAATATCAAGACATTTTTTCGAGATATTAAAAAAAATGTGCCAATGAATGAACAATCTATTTGTATTTTTCTAAAAATTACTTCATTAATTATTACTCTTTACTTTTCTTATTAGTTAAAGGTATATAGATACCTTTACCTTGAAGTTATGCGAGGGGAGGGGGCCGGCACAGAAAAAAAAATTACCTGTTACTTGCAATTTTTGAATGAAGACAATTTATTAAACTTCTGCGTGCGATTCAATAAGTTTTTTTCTTAAATCAAGTTATATTATAAGGTAAAGAAATCAAAAGTAGACTACAACATCCGCTGATGACACTAATATTACGTTGAATATATTTATATAACGGAGGTTTCATTATGCACGCGCACAGTACAGATTCCGTTAAATAAATCCTAAGGCACATTTTAGTTTAATGACAGTCTCTATTTTTTACTAACGAATATGCATTTTTCTTTATAAAACAAGACAAACTAGTATATAAAAACCTTGTATATTTCTATTCTCTCTAAATTGTTTAAAGTTCGAATATAGATTGTATTTTGAAGGACAAAAGATTTACTTTAAAAACTTTTAAATCTTGGGACTTTGCCGATGCTTTTCTAATTGAAACTATCACAGAAAAAGAGAAGACTTACGTTATTAAAATAAAATGTAAGTTATATGATCTTCATCAAAATAAAATATTACCCAAAAACAATGGTGCTGTAAGGGCAGCGGCCCTACGGTTTATAAATAACACAAGTCATGTTAAAATATTTTAAAATATTAACTAAGTTGATATATAAGTTTAAAAAAATATATAATTCAATAAATAAATTTTATTTATTCTTAACAAAGATTACCTCATACTTATTCTTTTTTTATTTTATTGAGTTAAATTGCTTACAAACGAAAAAAAAAAGTTTGCACAATTAAAGTTTTGCGTAGAAGTATTTGTTTTTTGTTTTAAGAATAATTAACAAAAGAGTTTGCATAATTAAATTATGCAAACTCTTTTGTTAAAATTTTTTAAATTACTTTTATACTCTCCAAGAAGTTCTCATATCTAAGGTAGTATTGTTTGCTGACGATACTACCATTTATTCTTGTCTTAATAAGAGGCTGATGCTCTCTGATTGCTTAGAGGGGGCATTTGAACTTAAAAATGATCTCACTTCTGCTACAGCATGGGGTTCCTAGTGGCTGGTGAACTTCAATTCAGATAAAACTCATTTTATGCAACCACATAGATGATACTAATATCGCAATAATCTAGATCTTTCTATATTTATGAACGGCAATTAGTCATCTACCCTTCATCTTCTAGGTTTAACTCTTACTACGGTTCTTTCTCAGAAACCATATATCAAATCGATTGCAAAACTAGCATATGCTGAGGTTGCATCTCTTTATAGTGCTCCTCACTTTCTTACTCAGGATTCTTTATTTCTAAAAATCTCAAATCTGTCCTTCTATGAAATACTGTTGAAATATCTGGGGTTGACTTTCAAATAATGTTATTTTTTTTTTTTAGACAAGGTGCAAAAACGCATTGATGGAACATATAACAAAAAACATAGTTGGACCTGCTCTAGCACCCAACTTTCAACCGTTATCACATTGTTGTAGTGTTGCTTCTCTTTCTGTTTTCTATAAATACTATAATGGGCACTGTTCTAAAGTGCTGGCTTCTCTTATGCCATCTACTAAAATTCATTATCATGTTACTCGTCATTCAATTAAGTCTTATGTTTTTACTTTGACTGTTTTTAAGTGCTCCAAAAATTCTTATGTCTAGTTTTTTTCCTCGAACATCAGTCCTTTGGAATTTGCTTCCTTTATCTTATTTCCCTGATTCATTTAATTTGTGATATTTTAATAGTCGTTGCTTGCAGCATTGTGGAAGTGAAGATATTAAAAATAAGCTATCCTATAAGCGGTAAGATAAAAGAAGTAATTAATTTTATAAAAAAAAACACAACTTTTGAATGACAGTTATGCAAAAAAGTTTGAATAACGATTATGTTAGATATAAGCACTATTTTCTAATGAAAAAAACTATAAATAATAAAATTAAAAATTACAAAAACTAAATCTTTATTGGGCTAATTACTTTATCAAAATATTTAGAAAACAAAATTGTTTAAAGCTAACGACAATTTTTTTTTTTTTAATACTAAGTTATTAAACACAATACATATTTTAAAAAATCATTATATAATAAAAATCATTATGTAATAAAAACTTTTTATAAAAAATCATTATATAATAAAAACTTTTATTTATCATCTTGCGAGCACAAGAAAATTTTTACAACTTTTGCTATAAAAAAAAATTAATTGAATTTATATATAATAATTTTAAAAAAATTAATAAAAAAAAGTTAAACTCTATTATATATTATCTTTATTATATACTATGATATTTCATTTTTATTGCTTTAAAGTTATTGGTTGATTTTTTTTGCTTGAAAAATGCTAATACTTTAAGCTTAAAGCAAAGATCATAACAAAATAACTTAATTCTGATAAAAAAATATATGATTTAATTTATAACTAATTTAATAAAAATAAAATATAATTTAAAAATTATATTTTATTTTTATTAAATTAAAAAAATATAATTTAATTTTGATTTAAAAAATATATTTAAGTTCATTGAAATTAAAACTAATGCTTGGGTTTAACTTAACTTTCAAAATTAAACTAAATTTTATTTAATATTTGCATTTTATTTATTCTAAAAAAAAAAGTTAGCTCTTTTTTATAGCAACTATTTTTTCAATTTTTTTTCCTAAACATTTTTTTTTTCATTTTACTCAAAATTAAATTCCTTGTAAATGTGCTCCGAGGCTGCATCAAAAACTTGTACAAAACATAAGTTTAACTTTTTTTATAACACAAGGTAAAGTGCAACAATTATTTTTTAATAAATGGTATTTACAGCGATACAATTTTAACAATTGGTGTTTAGAAAAATATTACTTGCTTTCACAACAAAATCGCTAATAAAATAATAAACTTTTAATAAATAAAGTAAATAAATTAATGTAATTTTTTAATATTTACTCGCAAATTTTTTTTAAATAAAAAATCATTTTTAGTTGCAAAGCCGCAATGAGAAATTTAGGAAATAATAATTTTAAAATATTTAACATATTTTAATTCATTTATACAAATGTTGAGAAAGGAAAGAAATTTGTTTGTATGAAACATTTCTAATCAATGCTCTCTTCCCCCCCCCCTCCTCCTCCTGTTTATATGATTAATTATAATAGAATACATTATGCTGATTCAGAATCATATAAAAACATAGTCTGAAAACTTGAGGAAAATACTCTAATTTAGTGCTAAAGCTTAAAAAATTACACTTACAAGTGACAATATTTACTTTTTTTTTAATTTAAGAACATTCTTTAGCACTATTTTTATTTAGAAATCAATCATTTAGAAATTTTTTTTGAATTATGTCACCCAATTTTTATTGCCATCAAAAGTAAAATTAAATAAAAGGCTTTAAAATCAAACTCAAAAAACTCTAAGTTAAAATTACTTTTTGTTACGCTTTTAATTGCGTTTGAAATAAATTACTTTAAAACTTATCTTTAGAAACGTTTTATTAAAGTTACGCAAAATGCTTTTACAAATTACTTCTGTTGATTGTTTAATAAATAAACAAATTTTATTTAAATTATTGAAAAGTGTAATTAAATTATTGAAAAGAAAAAAATATAATATTTTTAAAATGTTTAAACATTTTTTTCAAAAAGTTGCAAAAAATTTTTTTTAAAAACAATGTTGCCTTTTTTAAATTGTAATTTTTAACCATCTCATTATTTGATTGAAAGTCAAGTTTAAAAAAACAACAAATTTTAAACAATTGTAAAAATAGAAACAAACAAAAAAAAAGCAACTAAATCTTGGGAAGATTTAATTTACCTTATTCATAATTTAAAGTAACTTGAAGATAATATTCTTTTAACAAAAGATTTTAAGAAAGACTTTTTATGTTAAATTTTTGAAACTATTTTAAAAATAGTTTCAAACATTTAAATTTATTATAAAAAATACATACCTACTAAAATACATATTGCGTTTATTTTAAATTATAATTTTTGATTTTAAAAGATTTGATTTTATTTAAAGTTTTTTAAAGCTTACAAAGTTTTTATTTTACTCCTTCACATAAAATAAAAACTTTAAAAAAGATCAACGATTAAAAGTAAGTAAAACTGTAACGCAACGATTATTTTATATTGCATTTAAATAGTTGAAACATCAATAAAACCGCTGTCAAGTTGTCAAGTTGTAAAGAATAAAAAAAAAGCGTTGTCAGTATCAGCATTCAAGTCTATGTAAAAAAACATGCAATATTAAATTGGAACTATTTTATTAAAAAAAAGCAAAAATCTGTGATAAAATATTTAAAATAACTAACGTTAATAAACTTAATAAAATGACAAAGATTTTTGATTATTAAATAAACTTAATAAAATGACAAAGATTTCGATTGAACTTGGTTCTTTAAAACTGTAAAAATTATATTAAAAAAATTTGATCGGACACTGTCCAAACAAGTTTTTATTAGACATTTTGTCTGGGACTTTATAAAAAATTAAATTAGGCCTTGCATACCAAGCTAATGTAAGTTCTGATGATCTTGCTCACACTTCTATCAACAAATTTTACAACAATATAAGTGAATCACCATTTAATTAGATATGCCAGCCATATAAAATTATTTGATATTCTTAAGTACAAAAAACACACTAAAATATCAAAGAAAATTTTGAAACTAAAAGATGCAAACTTAAACCCAGTCTTGGTTTATTATTAACATTTTAATTTCTTTAAAAAATAATAAACGGAATCTTAATAACAACGATAAAAAAATCAAATATCAACAATTGTATGAGTTAAGTTGCTTCTCTCTTTAAAACTATATTTGTTAAATTTTACCTTTATCATAGCAATAAAAATAAACAGAGAAATCAAGCATGAGTCATATGAGAAGAGGCTCCGTATCTTCGGAATTATAATTTTTAAAGAAAGAAGAAATCAAGGTGATTTGATTCAGCAATTTAAAATCATTCATAATATTGAAAAAATAGATTGCCGTACCACGGGTGTATGCGCCATCAGTCAAAAATGCAAAAAGAGGAAGCATTTCTTCTCTAATCACATTGTAAGTGCATGGAATGAACCTCCATCAAATTAAGCCTATGCAGTTTTGGTAAATGCCTTAAAAGTTCACATTGATGGAAAAAGAACAAATAATAGACACAGCGCATGTCTTTATGCCAGCATAGTAGTGCCTAGTGTCGCACTATTTTATCAGAAATTGATAAATTTTTTATTATATTAAAAATCCAATATATATTTCTTATTTCTTATGAGAAATTAGAAATTTATATTAGAATTTGTTATATTTGAATTTGTTTATTGAGCTCAATAAAAATTTAAATTCATCATTTTGTATTCTATTTGAAGTTTATTGAGATTATAATTGTTCATAATAATTTGTGCTGAACCGCATTATTCTTTTAAAATATATTGAAAACATATGCTACAAGTTTAAAATAAAATTGTGTTTGAACACAACATGAATTTTTTTTCTTACTTGTTTACTAAAAATAGTAAAAAAAACATAATTGTTGTAAATGTAATACGTAAATAAATGAAAGTAATAGATTTATTAATACTTACCATACGACTACCTCTTTTATAGTAAGAATATCTTGAATTTATCAAAGAATTTAGATTTTTTGTTATAATCGGGTGTCTTCGAACCAACATTTCGCAATATTCAATTTACCTCGATCAAGTCAATTTCTCCGAGGATTTCTTGGAACTCAGAGAATTTGCTATTAGGTCAAACTAAATATTAAATAAAGATATATATAAAATAAAGCGTAATAATACCGTGTAATAATACAGAATAATACAGTGGGCAGATTCAGCATAGAATGTGGGTGGTAAAATATAAATCTGCGTTTATTTTAAACAGAAATAAAAAAGCTTGGCAACAACAAACCATCGTTTACATACCTGCTTTACAAATTTGCCCGCATTTATTGCAGAAAACAAAACGGAGACGTTTTATTTTAATAAAATATCTTTTCATAATATACGCAGTCAATGCATTTTTAAAATAGTTCGGTGTATCAAAACTACTGTGACTGTACAGTGACGGATGTTCAGTGACGGATAAACATCCGTTTATAAAACTAAAACGACTTTGCAAAAGGTAAACGTCTTTTTTGTTTCAAACGAGAAAAATAAAAAATTATAAATTAACTTATTTCAACATCGTAGAGCAATATAAATTTTTTTATGTGTTAAAAAAGTTTTTTAACAAAAACCCGTTAGGCATTCCCTTCCCTTCCCTTACCCTAACCCTTCAACCCATCCGCCCTAAACTTGATATCTACTCACACTGGCACTTCTTTCAAAGATGTGTATGCTTCAATATCTCTATCAATGACGACTGAACTGCATATGAAGAGGTACATCGATTCTTAACTGAGAAATAGACGATACCATGTTTTCATAACTTGTCTATACTATGCAAAATCAACTTGACTCTTCCTTTTACATCCACTTATGAAAAAAGAAGTTTCAGTAGACTAAAGATTATAAAAAATTATCCGTGATCAAAAATTACAAAAGAAGGTCTTTCTGGATCTTTTTACTTCAATATTAATTGAACGTGAGCTTGCTGAGAGCATTGACTTTGAATTATCAATAAACCTTTTTGCTTCAACACAGTGGGCACAGACGTCCGTAAGACGTCTATACAATGTTTTTTAGACGGTGCAAGCCCGATGTCCCTAAGACATCCAACAAACTTTCTGTATCAGCTGTCAGGGCCGGCGGAAGGCGAGTTCAGCGCGTTTTCAGAACCCGGCCCAGCACTTTGAGGGGCCCCGTGACTTACGCAAAGAATCAAAGTCACACATTTGCATGATATTTATTTTTTTAGTGGAATATTATTATTCCACTTCATAAATTTTGTTGGAACTAATTAGTTCCAACAAATGCTTTACATATTTCCTCAAAAAAATTACTTTTTAAAGTTTGCCCGTCTAAAGACATTTTTTTTTTAAGTTCAAATGACTCTTCAAGACATTATTATGTTGTGAAGAAATAATTGATTAACAAAAATTACAACAAACTTGTGTATTATTTAGTTTTAAAAATGTATTAGAAAAATCGATCGTTCAATGTAACGAGTAAAAAAAAAAAAGCAAAATCAAAAATTATAAAAATCTAGGTTAAAAACACAACAAAATAAGAGTAACGTTAGTTTTAAAAATTACGTTTATTTCAAATATCAAACAAAATCGAAAGTCAAGCGAACAATTAGAAGGAAATAAATAAAACGAACTAGATAATAAAATCTAGTTCGTTTTATTTATTTCCTTCTTAGATTTCCTCAACTTTATTAATGCAATAAAGTTGAGGAAATTTAAGCTAGGAATGATTAATATACGATAAATAATGAGCAATGAGCTTGTAGCTGCTACAACACTTTTATATATACTGCTACTACTCCACTACTACATTTGCTTCAGTACTCTACATTCATACGCGCATGCCTCTGTGGTCGTAAAAATAATTCCGCCTAGCCCTGTTTATTGCCATCAACGTAACCATATTTGAAATACATGCCCATAGCAATAATTCTTAGAATTTGCAGAACTTGTTATATTTTGTGTTAAATTTTCAATCTTGACTTAGTGCTTCGTGAGTACTAACTTAATACTACTCTTCAGTGTATTTTTCAGAGTAGATTCACTGAAGAATATTATTTTTCAATGAAAAATACTACTCTTCAGTGTATTTTTCATTGAATTTATTAAGTATCAGTGAATGTCTTTTGCGGATTGTTTGCTTGGTAAGTATTAATTTAATACTTATTTTTTAAATTAATTTTTAAATTAAATACGAGTATATTTTGAATAAAATTATTTAAATTTTAATTTAATATTTGTATCCATTGTTTAAATTAATCAACTAATTAATCGCAACTATTTAGTATTAAATGTTGATTTTTATAGTGACACTATACGTACCAGTTAAAATTTTTAATCTAAATTTCTTTCTTGCACATTTAAATAATACTTATAAACCTTTCTATAACTTTTACTTATACTAACGAAATATATAGTTTTCCAATCTACTTTGTAAATGTGTTTTCACACACAATTTTATTACGTTTTGTAACATACAAAATTTTATACATAGAAATATGTTTATTTATAGACCTTAATGTATGGCTAGCAGAGATAGAGATCAAGGGCAAAAATACTTAAGTGGGGCTGAAAAAATTAAACGAAAGAAATAGCGCAATGATTATATTAAATAGGAAACAAACTCAATTTTGAATTATGTAATTGAAATTCCTAGTCATTTAAAACATCTAAATGAAGGTGAAGAACATACGGTAATGAATCAGATAGCTTTGTGAGAAAAAAAGAATGAGTTAAATACATCTGTGACAAAAAATATAAAAAGATCAAAAAAGCTGAATTGGATGAAGTGAAAACAAAGGAAATTCAGCAAAAAAAGGTATTAAAATTTTAAATTTTGATAACTTTAAAAATATGGAAATTGAGGTGTAAAAAGAAATAAACAGAAATTTCGAAATTGAAGATCTGAGCATGTGGCCCATTAATAGAACACATCATAACTAATAGCAGCCGTGGCGCAGTGGTAGCGCACTTGCCTCAGAAACGTTAGATCCGTGGTTCAAACCCCACCTCGGGCGAATTTTGCGACATCGGTTGGGAAGGAGGCGTGAACTTCCTATTAAAACTGTAAGTTTAATAGTTAGGCACGGTAAAAGACAAGTTGCCTAACTTAACTTTCATAAGAACAAAAATAACAGTAGTTTTTCTACAACATATTTTACAAGAATACTGACAAATGGGTAAAGGATAACACGAAGATGACTAATTTTATTCTAAATCTAAAGATAAAGTTTATTGTTTCGTCTGTAAATTATTTTCCACTACAGATATTTCATTGGGGATAGACAGGTTTTACGATTAATCTCATATCAACACAACTTATCAAAATGCACGAACGATCTGCGGTCCATTTGCGACTAATAAACAGCTGGTTTCATATTAAACAAAATTTTCGGACTGATAATCTGCTTGACAAAAAGTGCGAAAAACTTTTATGATTTGAAACAGCACTATAAGAACAAGTTATTTTAAATATAACTGTTATTATTTTCTATTTTCTATTTTGGCTTTCCGAGAAAGTTCCAATTCTTTGTACATTGCACACAACGGTAATTTTTTGGGTTTAATAGAATTGATTGCCAAATTTGTTTCTTTTCTGAATGATCATTTAAATAGACAAACCATAAAAAGAAATCACAATTTATTACATTCAATTCAAAATAAATTGATAAGTGCAATGACAGATTAAGTACAAAAAGTAATTATCGAATAAATTAAAAAAAGAAAAAATATTATTTCATTTTAATGGATTGTACACCAGATGTTAGCCATCAAGAGCAGAAATCTGTTGTTCTTCGTTATCTCAACATAACAGACTAAAAAGTTAAAGTCAAAAAAATATTTTACTAAATTTGAAATAGTTGATGATACAACGTGAAAAGGGCTATCTGAAACTATCATGTTCATTCTGAATTAGTTTGGAATACAAATATGAGCCTGTTGTGGACAAGGATGTGATAACGGAGCTAATATGAAGGGAATATATAAAGACGTACAAGAAAATGTATTGCGTGTCAATCCTAAAGCGTTTTACGTACCATGTGGTAGTCACAACTTGAATTCTTTTAATGAAAATATAGCAAAATCATCAATTAAGCACTTTTTGGTGTTTTAAAAAAGATATTCACGAAATTTGCAGCATCGACGCTGCGTTGGGATATCCTAAAAAAACACGTTGAAAAAATTACACCTAAACCACTATCAGACACTAGGTGGGAATACCGTCCTGATAGTGTAAAAGGTTTTCGATTTCAGGTTTTCCAATTTCGGAACGCCAAAATCGATATTGGCAACAACGCATTTGATAGTATAAACTGAAAGTTGAGAGTTTGTCTATAGTATCTATAGGTTATCTATAGTATATTTATCTATAGTACGCAAGATGAACGAATTTGAATTTATAGCCAGCATTATTATTTGGCATGATATACTGTTCAAAAATAATATCGTCATCAAAGTATTGTAAAACCAGAATGTGCAAATTGATTTAGCCATAAAAACATTTAAAAGGCCTTAATATATTCTTTGCTGAATACAGAAAAGATGGTTTTGCCAAAGCTATGATCACAGCTACTAAACTTGCCAATGAAATGGATATAAATCCTGTATTCAAACTATCATCCAAGAGAATAAAACGGAAATTATTTGATTGTGAAGGAGAAGATGAATCGTCGGCTATCAACAATCAAGAATACTTTCGTATAAGTTATTATTTGTATATAATATATACTGTCTTAGTATTTTTAAAAGCAGATTTGAACTGTACCAAAATTATAAAATCTTTTTGGTTTTTTATACATGAATAATATTGATAATTTAGAAGATAAATATTAATTAAAAGGCTCTAATGATCTTTATTTAAGTTTAGAAGGAGATATCGACGGAACTGAAATTTAGAAGGAGATATCGACGGAACTGAGATTTAGAAGGAGATATCGACGGAACTGAAATTTAGAAGGAGATATCGACGGAACTAAAATTTAGAAGGAGATATCGACGGAACTGAAATTTAAAAGGAGATATCGACGAAACTAAAATTTATGAAGAAATCAAGATGATCCGTTCAATAACACAAACCAATTATTCAGCATTAAATGTGATGAATTATATTGTAAAGAACAACCTCTCAGAAGCATATTTAATCTTATTGGTTGCATTACTAATTATTAAACGATCCCAACAACCGTGGCTTCAGCAGAACTTAGTTTGTCGAGGTTGAAGTTAATAATAAATTATCTGCGATCATCAATCGAAAGTAGAAAGTGATCAATAGAAAGTGAAATTGCAAATGCAAGCGACTTTGATGACGTTATAATTCCAAAACGCTTACAAGCATCCTGCAAAAAAAACTAGAAATGTAAGAACAGTGGCTGATCAAGCTTTTACAGAA